AACGTTTAACAATGGTAATAACTGTAAAGATGATAATAACTATTCATTCTGACTGTTTAACGTTTAACAATGGTAATAACTGTAAAGATGATAATAACTATTCATTCTGACTGTTTAACGTTTAACAATGGTAATAACTGTAAAGATGATAATAACTATTCATTCTAAACGACCCTGAACCAAATGAAATAACTATAAAAGTTTAAAGCTATGAAAGTGGATCAAAGTGGATCAAAGTGGGTGAAATGTTATACACACCTAATTTCTTTCAGCTGAAAAGTTTCGTCTGTCGTCTTCTGCTGGTTTCTGAAATAGTGAACTCTACTTAGTAAGAGGTATATAATTAGCTGAATATTGTGTATTGTATCATTCAACCATGTTCTAAAAATTTATTGTAAAAAAATTAGTGTTAATATCCATTACTATGCCCCTACAATAACAGAGGGTCCATTAATTATACAAATAAATGGTAAAAACTGTATTGATTTAAAGCTTACAAAGTAATTTAAAGCAAGGATATCTCCTGGTAGCCATTGCATATATGTATGTATAGCATATATACCTAAATCTGTTCATAGGTGACTAATATACGTACCTAAATCTGTTCATAAATGAATAATATACATACCTAAATCTGTTCATAGGTGATTAATATACGTACCTAAATCTCTTCATAAGTGAATAATATACATACCTAAACCTGTTCATAGGTGATTAATATACATACCTAAATCTGTTCATAGGTGAATAATATACATATCTAAATCTGTTCATAGGTGAATAATATAGACACCTAAATCTGTTCATAAGTGAATAATATACACACCTAAATCTGTTCATAGGTGAATATACACACCTAAATCTGTTCATAGGTGAATAATATACATATCTAAATTTGTTCATAGGTGAATAATATACACACCTAAATCTGTTCATAAGTGAATAATATACATACCTAAATCTGTTCATAGGTGAATAATATACATACCTAAATCTGTTCATAGGTGAATAATATACATATCTAAATTTGTTCATAGGTGAATAATATACACACCTAAATCTGTTCATAAGTGAATAATATACACACCTAAATCTGTTCATAGGTGAATAATATACATACCTAAATCTGTTCATAAGTGAATAATATATATATCTAAATCTGTTCATAGGTGAAAACTTATTGTAAGTAAACTTACTGATTTCTTATTTGATATCTTGTCCTCATGGCCTCCATACTTTGTACTAGTTGCTACAACTTATTGTAAGTAAACTTACTGATAAAAAGACTGAAGATGATTCATTTCTTCTTGATATCTTGTCCTCATGGCCTCCATACTTTGTACTAGTTGCTACAACTTATTGTAAGTAAACTTACTGATAAAAAGACTGAAGATGATTCATTTCTTCTTGATATCTTGTCCTCATGGCCTCCATACTTTGTATTAGTTGATCTCTTTCTAAATGTAGACTTTTTAGCTGTAAAAATGTTTTAAAGACAAGGTTGTGTATCAAATATCCATGTTAGAAATGTATTTCATCCAACTTTCTGCTTTCTTCGTATTTTCAAATTACAAATTAATGTAATAATGTGAACTTTAAACTGAGAATAAAATCATATCACTTTTACACTTGATATATCTTTTAATAAACGTACAAGAATGGTCTATATTTACATCTGTAACCCTCTGTAAAGATAAGTCAGTTGTTCATCGTTACGTCTAATTTTCAACAAACTGACTGTATTAACTCCAACTATTAATAATAAATACGTGAAGCCACCTAGTTTTCCTTATCCTAAACTTACACTTGAATCAATTTCAAACATTCTAGTTAAATCACCTGTTATGTAACTGACTGTTACACTCAAACTATCAAAAGTCTTTGAAAGAGTGTAACTGTCCAGAAACAAAGTCAATAATAATCAGACAAAAATACAAAATATTATAGAAGAAATAGGGTAGACACCATGAATTAAAACCATTCAATACTCAAGCAAGCTTTGGTGAAAAATACCTAACGATATACTAGGTTTAGATTTTATGATGCCTCAAAACTCTTAAATGTTTTAAAAAATCCTGATTAAAATTTTTATACATACTTGCATTTACTTAAACTTTAAGGTGTCTGGAGTTTTTATGATATTATTAGCAGTAGTGTTAATATTAGCATAAGTGTTAACAGAAGTGTTGTATTACTTGTTAGATTAGCTGGAGGATACATGAACTGAAATATATGACAGTAGATTGAAAACTTTTTGATTCCTGCATTCAGCTCTAGAGACCATATATATATATATATATATATATATCACTTTGTACCCGAGGCCTGATATTAACCATACATTATAGTACACAAACCAAGTATATATCACTTCGTATCAGGCCTGATATTAACCACACATTATAATACAGAAATACAACTTACCAAGCCTTCAAGTTCAACATGGTTAGCTTGTACTATTGGATTAGGAGGGGTATTCACCACAGTGGGTGTGGCAATAAATCCTGTAGACACATACGGTGATGCACCAACTGCTACATCTTCTACTCTATGGTCTGAAAGTTCCTGATTTAAAGGTTTTCCCACAACACTTTTTGCTGGAGACAACTGAACAAGTCGAGAACTCCCAGTGGCCTCTGATTTACTTGGCGAGGCAGTTTTTGAGACTAGTTTTGGAGAAACAGGACTTTTATTTGCTTCAAACTTTTTCTTCAGAAGTAACCAATCATCCCCTTCACTGTGTTTTACTTGATTTTTATCTATTCCAGACGATTCATCTTGTTTAATACCTCCAAAATTTTTATTGGTTGGTTCTCCCGGGAAAAAACTGGGCCTTTCAATCAAGTCCACTGGCTGATCTTTTTGGGCAAATGGTGTTTTTTCAGTTTTTGAAACCTGACTATTAATTTCCCCTTCAAAGCCTAACAAGTCAGTTTGTGGCTGTTGACGGCCCCGCCGTCTTCCAGAACCACCCAATAACCCAGATGTGATATGTTCACTTTCGTTGCGAGACCCACCTAGCCAGTCCAGTCCACTGCCCCTCCTCCTCTCACTCATTGGCTTATCCCCTGCACTTCTGTTCTCCACCGTCAGTTCATTAGCCCCTTTTAGTTTACGTGAAGCAGAGGTCAAGTTGGACTTGTATTCACTGTCACTACCTGATCCACTACACCAGTCCAGTTCACCCCTTGTTCCAACAGAAGCCTTATTACTCATAGTTTCTCTCTCTAAGGTCGGCACTGAATCTCTTGATCCAGCACGTTCCAGTGTCGGCTTGTATTCAACGTCACTACCGGACCCTTCCAGCCAATCAAGTCCACTGCTCCTTTTCCTACTAGTACCTAATTCACCTTTACTCCTTCCCTGATCAGCCGGTGTCGGCTTGTATTCAACGTCACTACCGGACCCTTCCAGCCAATCAAGTCCACCGCTCCTCTTCCTACCAGTACCTAATTCACCTTTACTCCTTCCCTGATCAGCTGGGAGCAGAGAATTTTGTCTCCTTCTAACAGAGTCTCCTTCTAAATCTAGTCCCAACTCTTCAGAAAACCTGTAAGATAATAAAATTTACAGCTAGCAATCTAACATAAAAACTAGCAAGTTCTTAGAACTTTGAAAAAAAATCTTCTTTCAAATAAACAAGGAATATTTCTTTCTTATTCATTGTTTTTGTAGAAGCGAACCACAAGTGCAATCACACCTTTCACATTAGTAGAGCTGGGTGATCAACTCAGGTAATCAGTGAATTTCAACTGCTAGCAATCACACCTTTCACATTAATAGAGTTGGGTGATCAACTCAGGTAATCAGTGAATTTCAACTGCTAGCAATCACACCTTTCACATTAGTAGAGCTGGGTGATCAAACTCAGGTAATCAGTGAATTTCAACTGCTAGCAATCACACCTTTCACATTAGTAGAGCTGGGTGATCAAACTCAGGTAATCA